AGTTGGACCCATCCAAATATTTGGTTAAAGATTGATAAAAATCAACTCCTATATCTATTTTTCCAGCACTAACATCTTTCAACCAATGTGCTGTATCATGGCCCACAAAATTTGAATCGAAAGTGAGGGTATTTTTTTTCTTTTTCCTGGAAATAATGGGTCTCAACAGAGGCTTAATATCCATATGACTACTGAAATACCAGTTTTAAATATTCACATTCTTGATTGATCATCAATTTTACCTCTAGAGTACTAGTTTTATATCCTCATGCTAGGTCATTCAACTTCCTGATATTTCAAACATGGCTGCCATACATGGAAATCTTCCTTGTAAACGTTTATATTGAGAGATTTTAACAAATCCTCTATTTTGATCAATCAATATGCCTATGGAGCATTTTCTTTGGTATAATCAATTGTTTTCAAGATCAAAACTGTCTGATCATCTATGTTACATTGAATTGTAATCTCTTACTTTACATTGATCATAAACTGAGAAAGCATGAAGAACAATGACATTTGAATTATTGCACTGTAGGGTCTTTTGCTGGTCTTGGCTTCCTAGCCTGGTACTTGTCTGGGAAAATTAGAGTATTTGACCGTAGGGGTCATGTTTCAAAGCTCTGCATTATGTTCCTGCCGTTACTTGTTGCAGCATTGGTCGGAGTTTCACGAGTTGATGATTATTGGCACCATTGGCAAGACGTTTTTGCTGGGGGTCTGTTAGGTATTCGTGATGTGAATGGAATCTACTCTTAATACTTGTTTTTATGTTCTCCACTTGTAAATTTGTTTTCAATCTTTTCTACTCCCTCTCCTTGCGCAGGGATGACAGTTGCTTCATTTTGTTACTTGCAATTCTTTCCACCACCGTATGACGTAGATGGTATTTTTCTTGCATCCATCAGTGAGATATTAATTCTAATGGTTTTGTCACCTATGCTGCCATTCTGTTTTAAAGTATATTGTGTTGTTCTACTAAAGATGGATGTGTAAAAACAAATTTATGTTTGACTTTCAGTATGTTTTGAGATTTATTTCCTGTAGTAAGAATTTAGTTACAGCTTCTAGTGAGCTTTGCAAACTTATCGACTAGGAGAATTTTCAATTGCTTCAAAATGGCAATGAATGCTTGACTGCCACCTATGCTAGGATCCTGACAGGGTTAATTTAGTATAGCTTACCTATTATTTTAACAGGGCTGATAAACCAATCTTCTGGAGTTGTTCCCGACTCAGTTCCTTCCATGAGAACAGGAAACCTATTCGAGGTTTGTATTGCTGAATTTTATCACACCATTCTGAACAACTTCCTTGGCTATGCAGGTTGGGCACCCCATTCATATTTAAATGTGCTGGCAGACTCTCGAAATGGCAACCAACCATTGTCGATCAATGCGAATGCTCTTACTGTTAGGCAGTTGGAATTTGAGAGTGTATATCTAAGATCTGCACCCTATGTCAATGCGCAAGACTCGATCTCGATCCTTGAAGACATGGAAAGAGGGAGGAGAAATTGATAATGCGGCTTGATAATGCTGTCCAAATAGGTAACCACAGGAATGCATTAGATCAAGAGTACTTTTGTTTGCATATGAAAGTACCTAACGTGAAAGAGTAACTTGGATTAGTCAAACAATCATTTGCCACGACATATTTTTGTGTATGCTGACTTTGAAGTTTAATATTCTTCTTGTTTCTTGTAATGTTTTTACCACCTAAATTATAACTACACGGAGAAAGAGTTGACTAAACTGGTCGAAATATAAAAAAATGCAGATTTGGCTAATTCTTGGCTATTCTGTGCTTCTGCTAATTGGAAGTTAATTCTGAGTAACATAGTTGAGGTTTGAATTTTGTTGCTGTAACCGATGGTAAGAACAGAATTGATTGATATCGTACGTCCATTTCAAAGAATCAGTATAAATATGACATTTAGGGTCCGTTTGATTCAAAGATGAAATTGAATTGAATTGAAAACGAATTTGAGGGAATTGAATTGCGTAGAAATTATTTTCTTGGGAATTGTAAATTATTATGTTTGATTGGTATAATTTTTTACGTGAAAAATGTTGAAATAATAGTTTTTGCTATTTGTTTGATTTTGTTTTACATGAAAATTGTTAATTAAAGGGATTGATTTTATTGATATTGGGGATGAAATTTGTTTTAAAAAAAAAATTAAAACCAAGAAAATAATCTATCTTTTGGTGTTCGTTTGACTTTGTTTTACATGGAAATTATCAGTTAAAGGAAAATATTATTTTATTATAATTTTTAGAATTTGTTTTTATTGTCAACCCAAAAAAAAATAAAAAGGGTACAGTGACCGGAATTGGAATTCTCACCAATTCTCTCACCATATTGGTGAGAATTCCAATTCAAGGAAAATGTGGAATTCAGCATAGGTGGCAAAAAAAGTGGAAAATGAATTCTAGGTAAAAAAAAATGCTATCAAACAATGCAAAAGTGGAAGTTGGAATTCATTTTTCATTTTCTAGGGGAAATTTTGGCTTATCAAACATACCCTTATAAATTTATGATTGATAAATTAATAATTAATAGTTTTTGTATAATAATTAATTGTTTTATTAATGAGAAATAGTTTTGATGAAATTTAAAAAAAAAAAAAAAAAAAAAAAAATGCTATCAAACAATGCAAAAGTGGAAGTTGGAATTCATTTTTCATTTTCTAGGGGAAATTTTGGCTTATCAAACATACCCTTATAAATTTATGATTGATAAATTAATAATTAATAGTTTTTGTATAATAATTAATTGTTTTATTAATGAGAAATAGTTTTGATGAAATTATGCGATGAAACATTTGAATGTATGGTCTTAGTCAATTCAAAAGTTAAATATTCATCAACATGTTATACTAAGGTTGAATTTAGTCATGGGGAAAGATTGTAGGCTTATGCTGACACTACGCCCATAATATCTCGACTTTGTTTTTTGTTGAAGATGTAATTTATATATACTTATTATCATTATGAATAAAATGTAACTATCTTTAATTGATTTGACTAATATTGTTGTGAAAAGTTGATGAAGAACAAAGTTGAAGCAACAAGAAATCGTCAAAATGGAAAATTTGAACACGATTACGAATAGTTATCTTCAAACAATATTTATCGTCATCGGGTTAAATGCTTGAAGGTTTTAAAAGGCAAATAGTTTGAATGAGTAATCAAAATCTTAATTTCAAAATTTATTGAAGGTGTGAAGATGCAAAAATAAAACCAAAAAGGTGTGAAGCTCTTCAAAACACCCAAGAATTTCAAAATCCAATGAGCAAAAAGTTTGCGCTAGGCAATCACCCGGTACAAAATTGGGTGATCGCCTAGTTCATATCAACTGCTTCTGCAATTGATGTTTGAAGCCAGGGGCTATTATTATTTTATTTTATTTTATTTTCGTTTTGATTTCTTTTGCTTCCAATTTGATTTTTCAAATGGTTGATTCACATATATTTATTTCAGATCACATCTCATTATATATCTTTAACAATATTTCCAACAACCCCCACTTGTTCAAATATATAGTGAGCTCAAAGTCAAATTGAACAATACTTATGCATGGATTATATATATCTTTTAATTTGAATTCAATCTCAGTATAAATCTCACAAAATAATCATTGAAATTATAGATAGCATGAAAGCTTTGAGCCTATTATTCCTCCTGATGATACCGATGAAATCACATACACAAGCATTAAGTGATCCAACACAATCTCGTTTAGCACTCTTATGGCCTTGATCAACCGATATGAACTTTATTAAGAGTTATAAAAACTCAACTCATATTCGTGATAACCAGCACTTTTAACTTAGGATAGGGTTTTAAAGAATAATTAATTGCTGAATTTACCCACTTCTCAAATGACTTGTTACCATTTGAATCCAAAGTACACTTGTGAGTATAGTCAGGTAGGATTGTCGTCATTGGTGGATTTAATTATAGAATTTTAACCCCATCCTACTAGTTGTTGTCCATACTAATTCTACCGTGAGCGGTTTAGTGAACGGAATCAAACAAATTCTCACATGACTTCACATAAATGAAACACAGTTAAGCTTCTTTTTGCTTAGTGACCGTTTTACTTTGAATTGTGTTTTGTGTAATTTGGAAGTGAAACATGTACCAAAATGGTCATAATTAATTGAAACCATTTCTTACACATTTACAGAAAGGTTTGGGAACTACATTGCAACTCATTCAAGAAGTTTAGGGCATTTTCTACAACTGGTTTAAAAGGTTTGGGACCTGTACTATGACTCACTAAAAGGTTTGGGACCTCAGCTACAACTCAAACAAAAGGTTCAGGACCTATATTCAACCATCTACAAAAAGTTTGGGAACTATACTTCCCTTGTATTTTGAAGCATCTTCTTAGCATGAAAGGGGAGAACTGAAAAATAGGGTAGCATTGCTGGATAATAAGATATATTATTACTATCGCTCAGTGATAAAGGAGGTAGGGGTGTAGAGACAGCTAGGAGGTTTGCCTAGAAGCAGCCAATCTTGAAAGAGTGCGTAATAATCTCCCGTTGTTCCTCAGTAGCTCAGTGGTAGAGCGATCGGTTGTTAACCGATTGGTCGTAGATTCGAATCCTACTTGGGGAGATTTGATTACTGCACACTATTTCTAACTCACAAACCTATTTCCCAAAACACATATCCGGGATCTAAGCTCACTCCTAACACAGATCTAGCTATAGAACCATTTTATAAAAACTCTACATACAAATCCAAATAGCAAAGTCTTCTACACACTAGAATTTGTCAAATGAATGGTGTTTATTTTAGCTTCCATATCCCATCCCGTAGAAATCTAGTGATCAGCTCCTTCGATCTATCACATATTGGGGGATCCCACAAATTGAAGAAGTTATGTCCATCCACATCTTGGCGCCGTGGACAAGTGAGAAATCTTCTTCCTTCGTCTGTGAGGTCTTTTACCTGAACAGGATAACCACATCTACATTCATTCATCTCCATCTCCATCTCCATGTTGAAATTTTCTTGAGAGTTACTGGAAGAGACAAAGACGACTAAATAGGGTAGAAAATGGACGAAAATGAATGGTGGTTTGTATAGTAAATGAGGGATAATATGGGAGTGACGAAAATGTCCCTATTTAAATTGGTCAAAATGTCTATTTTTTTTCCATTTTTCAAGTGAACTAACTAAGAATTTCACGTATTCAATCATTTTGGAATCCATGTACGAATTTTCCAAAGGGTTGGGGACCTCCAATGACACAAAGTGAATGTTGAGGTAAAGCTAACAAAAAAAAAAAAAAAAAGTTGCGAAAAGCAAAAAGGTTTGGGGCCACAGTTGCAATTATACTTTTGTTTGTTTGTTTTTTTTTATCTCCATAGAATGAAGTAGGAGTCCAAAATTGAAAATTCCCTTCTTCTTCTTCTTTAACCCAAGATTTTTCCCACACTACAAACGCCAGTAAACCAATCCTACTAACTACTGAAAAGATCCTTTTTCATAAGCAGACAACTGCTAAGCAAGATACTTCTTTAATTTTGAATTGAATGCTTGTAGTGGGGTGCACTCTTCTCTACTTTGTCTTCTTTAGAGTTCAGACTTCAGTTCTTTCTTTCCACCACCATTACTTCCAGTTTCTAAGTTGCAGTTCTTATTATTCATCTTCTAGTAATATTTTTGTTTTGCCCATTTTCCTTTTAGAACTGGAAATCAAAAATACATACGAAGTATACAAAATATCACTCTAATGTTTTTCAACAAAATTGAACAATGACATCAAAGATTTCGTCGATTTTGGGCTCAAAAAGATTGTGCCTTTCTGTACAAATTTAAAGACACAAAACATAACCCATAAATGACCAAATCTAGCGGCTTTGATGGGCAAGAACCACTAAACAAATACCAACCCTTTCTTATCACTAAGAATCACTCAGATTCACTATACACACAGAAACCAAATCCTTAAAATCACTAAAGTGTTCGCGTAAATATTTGTTTCGATTTTAAAACCCACCGCAAGTGTACGGTTCGTTAATAAGTAGTAAAATGGACTATGAGTCCAAGTATCGTTCCCACAAGAATTGAATTAGCTCTAATTAGACTAATGTGACCTTAACCGAATCTAATTGAATGAAAATTTGGTTTAAATGTGAAAAGCCCTAAAATTGGAAGAAACCCCCAATTTGAAACCCTAATTTTGAAAAAAAAAACCCTAATTTCGAAATTGGAAACCCTAATTTCGAAATTCCCCTAATTAAATGACTCAACAACTCAATTAAAATGTAAATATGCAATGTTGTAAATTAAATTGTAGAAATAAGTTGAAATAAAATCATTGGGATATCGAATCCCCATTTGATTTCTATAAACCCTAATTTCACAAATCCAATTAATCAATGGAAAATTGTCAATTCAATGTTCTTACGCCTATCTAATATACTCTCTCGATATATATTAGATCTATTTCTGCATATCATCAGCCTATATTTCTATGGATGATGTAACATACAAAACGCATGAAACTCCATGAACAATTACCGAACTGCATAAAGCATAGGGGTATATTTCTATCCCCTATCGGACCCTATGTCAATTTATATATATCGAGTCTATTTTACTTCTTTCGAATGTAAAGAATAAACCATCACAATCACATAATAAATGGCCAATAAATCATGGATTCAATCAAAACAATATAAATCAAACAATTTATTCCAAAGACAAATTATATTAAACTCATGAAATATAATAATTTATAAGAAAATCAAAGGTTCATCGACTC